ACGATTAGATGCACTTTATTTATTAGTTTATATATCGTCGTAGTTTAAATATTTTAATAGAATTATAAATATTTAAAATTTTTTATTAAAAAATAAATCAGATCAAGGTGTAGTTTATAATAAGAAGAAATGGGTTACAATAAATTTATTTTAAAATAATTTTTGTTAAAAAAATTTGAATTTGGATTTGAGAGTAATTTTTTAGATTTTTTTAAGATGATTAAAGCTCTAAAATATGTACATATCGCCCGTCGCTTTCATTTTAAAATGAAATAAGTCGTAACAAAGTAGATGTACTGGAAAGTGTCTCTAGAAAGACAAGTTAGAGCTTGATAGAAGTATTTTATTTACATTAAAAAGTTAGTTGTGAAATTCAATTTAACTTGAAGATTTATTTTTATTAAAAATTTAAGTATTTTAATTAAAAAATTTAAAATAAGTAAATTTTTGTTTTATTATTTTTAAAGAAAAAATTTTTTTTATGATAGTTTAATAGTATTGTGAAAGAATAAATAATTTAGTTTTAAGAAAAATTAATTTTTGTACCTTGTGTATCAGGGTTACTAAATAAATAATAATTATTCTTGTTTCGCTTTAGCGTTATTTCTTTTTTTTTTTGTTGTCTCCTATTCTTCCTCCTTTTTGGTCCTACTTTCTTCGTTTTTCCCTCTCTAATTTTTTCACGCCCCCCCTTTCCTTTTCCCTCTACCCTCCGTCCCCCTCTCCTTCATCGTCCTTTTTTTTTTTTACTTTTTATCTTCGGGCTCCGCTTCCTCCTCTCCTTTTCTTCTTTCCTCTGTCATTCCCTTTCCTTTGTCCGCTTCCCGTTTCTCTCCTCCTGCCCCTGTTCTCCTTTCTTTCTCCTTCCCTCTTCTTTGTCTCTTCTTTCTCCCTTTTTTCTTCCCCTCCTCCTTCCCTTTTTCCCCTTCCGTCCTCCTGGTCCCTTCGTCTCCTTTCCTCCCCTTTCTTTCCCCCCTTTAGCTTTCTCCGGCATTCGGCCCCAAAAATTATTTTTACCTGTTACTTAAAACATGTCCTATTGCTTTTACTTTTCGGTCCTCGCCTGCCCTCTGAGGATTTAAATGCGCGTATTTTGACGTGCTAAGGTAGCATAATCATTAGTTTCTTAATTAGAAGCTGGACTGAAGGGTTGGATAAAAAATTTCTGTCTCTATTTAAACATTAAAAATTTATTTTTAGTAAAAAGCTAAATTACTTTAAAAGACGAGAGACCCTATTAGAGTTTCATATTTAAAAATTTTAATTTGTTTTAGTATACAAATTTTTAATTTTTTTTTAATTATTTTAATTGGGGTGATTGAAAAATTAATTGAACTTTTTTTTAATTAAATCATTAATTTATGTATACTTGAGCTATTAGTAATAATTGTACGATTTAATTACCTTAGGGATAACAGCGTAATATTATCAAAGAGTTCTAATCGAAGATAAAGATTGCGACCTCGATGTTGGATTAAAATTAATTTTTGGTGCAGAAGCTGGAAATATTAGGTCTGTTCGACCTTTAAAATTTTACATGATCTGAGTTTAAACCGGTGTGAGCCAGGTTGGTTTCTATCTTTAATTTAAATTTAATATTTTAGTACGAAAGGATTGAATATTAAAATAATTTTATTAGGAAAAGGGTAAAATTATTATTTTGGCAGAATAGTGCGATAGATTTAGAATCTTTTATATGTAATTTATTTTACAAATAATACTTGTATTTTAAAGATTTATTAATAATAATATTTTCTAGGTTAATTTTATTAATTTGTGTTTTGATTGGGGTGGCCTTTTGACTTTATTAGAGCGGAAGGTTTTGGGTTATATTCATATTCGTAAGGGTCCCAATAAAGTTGGCATATTAGGGTTAGTCCAACCATTTAGAGATGCCATTAAATTATTTACTAAAGAGCAAACTTTTCCTTTAATATCAAATTTTAATTTATATTATTTTTCTCCTGTAATAAATTTTTTTTATCTTTATTTTTATGAATTTGTATGCCTTTTTTTTCTGTTAATTTAAGATTTAATTTATCAATATTATTTTTTTTGAGAGTTTCTAGGTTAGGTGTTTACACTGTAATATTGGCGGGTTGGGCTTCTAATTCAAATTATGCTTTATTGGGAAGTTTACGAGCTGTAGCTCAAACAATTTCGTATGAAGTAAGTTTAGCTTTAATTCTTTTATCATTTTTATATTTAATTTTAAGGCTTAATATATTAGATTTTATAAAATATCAAATAAAAATTTGATTTATTTTTTTATTATTACCTTTATCTTAATATGATTAGTTTCAAGTTTAGCTGAAACTAATCGGACTCCTTTTGATTTTGCTGAGGGGGAATCTGAGTTAGTGTCTGGATTTAATGTTGAGTATAGAAGAGGAGGTTTTGCGATGATTTTTTTAGCTGAATATAGCAGAATTTTATTCATAAGTATACTTTGTTGTATATTATTTCTAGGAGGGGATATTTTTACTATAATATTTTTTTTAAAATTAGTTTTTATTTCATTTTTTTGAATTTGGGTTCGGGGAACTTTACCTCGATTCGTTATGATAAATTAATATATTTAGCTTGAAAAAGTTATTTATCTGTAGCATTAAATTATTTATTATTTTTTTTTGGATTAAAATTTATAATTTTTAATTATTTTATTTAATAAAGTTAAATTTTACTTTATATATTTAAATTTTATTTAATAAAAATAAAATTATATTTTAGAATAATTTTAAAAATTTATAAAGTTTTTATTCATTAATTATTCTTAATAAATAATTTTTAATAAAGTTTTTTATATTACTTGTTAGGGGAATGGCAGGCAAAATAAAATGAAAGCTTTACCAATAATTACTTGTTAGGGAATGGCAGGTAAAATAAAATGAAAGCTTTACCAATAATTACTTGCTAGGGGAATGGCAGGTAAAATAAAATGAAAGCTTTACTAATAATTACTTGTTAGGGGAATGGCAGGTAAAATAAAATGAAAGCTTTACCAATAATTACTTGCTAGGGGAATGGCAGGTAAAATAAAATGAAAGCTTTACCAATAATTACTTGCTAGGGGAATGGCAGGTAAAATAAAATGAAAGCTTTACTAATAATTACTTGCTTAGGGGAATGGCAGGTAAAATAAAATGAAAGCTTTACCAATAATTACTTGCTAGGGGAATGGCAGGTAAAATAAAATGAAAGCTTTACCAATAATTACTTGCTAGGGGAATGGCAGGTAAAATAAAATGAAAGCTTTACCAATAATTACTTGCTAGGGGAATGGCAGGTAAAATAAAATGAAAGCTTTACCAATAATTACTTGCTAGGGGAATGGCAGGTAAAATAAAATGAAAGCTTTACCAATAATTACTTGCTAGGGGAATGGCAGGTAAAATAAAATGAAAGCTTTACCAATAATTACTTGCTAGGGGAATAGCAGGTAAAATAAAATGAAAGCTTTACCAATAATTACTTGCTAGGGGAATGGCAGGTAAAATAAAATGAAAGCTTTACCAATAATTACTTGCTAGGGGAAATGCAGGTAAAATAAAATGAAAGCTTTACCAATAATTACTTGCTAGGGGAATGGCAGGTAAAATAAAATGAAAAGCTTTACCAATAATTACTTGCTAGGGGAATGGCAGGTAAAATAAAATGAAAGCTTTACCAATAATTACTTGCTAGGGGAATGGCAGGTACAATTAAAATGAAAGCTTTACCAATAATTTACTTGCTAGGGGAATGGCAGGTAAAATAAAATGAAAGCTTTACCAATAAGTACTTGCTAGGGAATGCGGTAAAATAAATGAAAGCTTTACCAATAATTACTTGCTAGGGGAATGGCAGGTAAATAAAATGAAAGCTTACCAATAATTACTTGCTAGGGGAATGGCAGAGGTAAAATAAATGAAAGCTTTACCAATAATTACTTGCTAGGGGAATGGCAGGTAAAATAAAATGAAAGCTTTACCAATAATTACTTGCTAGGGATGCAGGTAAAATAAAATGAAAGCTTTAACCAATAATTACTTGCTAGGGGAATAGCAGGTAAAATAAAATGAAAGCTTTACCAATAATTACTTGCTAGGGGAATGGCAGGTAAAATAAAATGAAAGCTTTACCATAATTACTTGTTAGGGGAATGGCGGTAAAATAAAATGAAAGCTTTACCAATAATTACTTGTTAGGGGAATAGCAGGTAAAATAAAATGAAAGCTTTACCAATAATTACTTGTTAGGGGAATGGCAGGTAAAATAAAATGAAAGCTTTACCAATAATTACTTGCTAGGGGAATAGCAGGTAAAATAAAATGAAAGCTTTACCAATAATTACTTGCTAGGGGAATAGCAGGTAAAATAAAATGAAAGCTTTACCAATAATTACTTGTTAGGGGAATGGCAGGTAAAATAAAATGAAAGCTTTACCAATAATTACTTGCTAGGGGAATGGCAGGTAAAATAAAATGAAAGCTTTACCAATAATTACTTGCTAGGGGAATAGCAGGTAAAATAAAATGAAAGCTTTACCAATAATTACTTGCTAGGGGAATGGCAGGTAAAATAAAATGAAAGCTTTACCAATAATTACTTGCTAGGGAATGGCAGGTAAAATAAAATGAAAGCTTTACCAATAATTACTTGCTAGGGGAATGGCAGGTAAAATAAAATGAAAGCTTTACCAATAATTACTTGCTAGGGGAATGGCAGGTAAAATAAAATGAAAGCTTTACCAATAATTACTTGCTAGGGGAATGGCAGGTAAAATAAAATGAAGCTTTACCAATAATTACTTGCTAGGGGAATGGCAGGTAAAATAAAATGAAAGCTTACCAATAATTACTTGCTAGGGGAATGGCAGGTAAAATAAATGAAAGCTTTACCAATAATTACTTGCTAGGGGAATGGCAGGTAAAATAAAATGAAAGCTTTACCAATAATTACTTGTTAGGGGAATGGCAGGTAAAATAAAATGAAAGCTTTACCAATAATTACTTGCTAGGGGAATAGCAGGTAAAATAAAATGAAGCTTACCAATAATTACTTGCTAGGGGAATAGCAGGTAAAATAAAATGAAAGCTTTACCAATAATTACTTGCTAGGGGAATGGCAGGTAAATGAAGCTTACCAATAATTACTTGTTAGGGAATGGCAGGTAAATAAAATGAAAGCTTACCAATAATTACTTGCTAGGGGAATGGCAGGTAAAATAAAATGAAAGCTTTACCAATAATTACTTGCTAGGGGAATGGCAGGTAAAATAAAATGAAAGCTTTACCAATAATTACTTGCTAGGGGAATGGCAGGTAAAATAAAATGAAAGCTTTACCAATAATTACTTGCTAGGGGAATGGCAGGTAAAATAAAATGAAAGCTTTACCAATAATTACTTGCTAGGGGAATGGCAGGTAAAATAAAATGAAAGCTTTACCAATAATTACTTGCTAGGGGAATGGCAGGTAAAATAAAATGAAAGCTTTACCAATAATTACTTGTTAGGGGAATGGCAGGTAAAATAAAATGAAAGCTTTACCAATAATTACTTGTTAGGGGAATGGCAGGTAAAATAAAATGAAAGCTTTACCAATAATTACTTGTTAGGGGAATGGCAGGTAAAATAAAATGAAAGCTTTACCAATAATTACTTGTTAGGGGAATGGCAGGTAAAATAAAATGAAAGCTTTACCAATAATTACTTGTTAGGGGAATGGCAGGTAAAATAAAATGAAAGCTTTACCAATAATTACTTGTTAGGGGAATGGCAGGTAAAATAAAATGAAAGCTTTACCAATAATTACTTGTTAGGGGAATGGCAGGTAAAATAAAATGAAAGCTTTACCAATAATTACTTGCTAGGGGAATGGCAGGTAAAATAAAATGAAAGCTTTACCAATAATTACTTGTTAGGGGAATGGCAGGAAAAATGAAACGAAAGCTTTACCAATAATTACTTGCTAGGGGAATGGCAGGTAAAATGAAACGAAAGCTTTACCAATAATTACTTGCTAGGGGAATGGCAGGTAAAATGAAACGAAAGCTTTACCAATAATTACTTGCTAGGGGAATGGCAGGTAAAATGAAATGAAAGCTTTACCAATAATTACTTGCTAGGGGAATGGCAGGTAAAATGAAATGAAAGCTTTACCAATAATTACTTGTTAGGGGAATGGCGGGCAAGGTTAAAGTTTATTATAAATTATTCATTAAGAAAATTAAGAAAAAAAATAATTTTTAAAATTATCATAAAAAGAATGGGATAAATATTCAAAAAAAAATCATTTCTAAAATAATTTTGTTAGAAAAATTTCGAAAAATAAAAACTAATTTTAAAAATTATTTAAAAAAAATTATTATTCAGTTAAAAATCATTCTTAAAATAATTTTGTTAGAGAAATTTCAAGAAACAAAAACTAATTTTTGAAATTAAGTAAAAAAATTATAAGTGGCTGAAATAGTCATTCCTAAAATAATTTTGTTAGAAAAATTTCGAAAAATAAAAACTAATTTTAAAAATTATTTAAAAAAAAATTATTATTTAGTTAAAAATCATTCTTAAAATAATTTTATTAGAAAAATTTCGAAAAATAAAAACTAATTTTAAAAATTATTTAAAAAAAAATTATTATTTAGTTAAAAATCATTCCTAAAATAATTTTGTTAGAAAAATTTCGAAAAATAAAAACTAATTTTTAAAATTATTTAAAAAAAATTATTATTCAGTTAAAAATCATTCCTAAAATAATTTTGTTAGAGAAATTTCAAGAAACAAAAACTAATTTTTGAAATTAAGTAAAAAAATTATAAGTGGCTGAAATAGTCATTCCTAAAATAATTTTGTTAGAAAAATTTCGAAAAATAAAAACTAATTTTTAAAATTATTTAAAAAAAATTATTATTCAGTTAAAAATCATTCTTAAAATAATTTTGTTAGAGAAATTTCAAGAAACAAAAACTAATTTTTGAAATTAAGTAAAAAAATTATAAGTGGCTGAAATAGTCATTCCTAAAATAATTTTGTTAGAAAAATTTCGAAAAATAAAAACTAATTTTAAAAATTATTTAAAAAAAATTATTATTCAGTTAAAAATCATTCCTAAAATAATTTTGTTAGAGAAATTTCAAGAAACAAAAACTAATTTTTGAAATTAAGTAAAAAAATTATAAGTGGCTGAAATAGTCATTCCTAAAATAATTTTGTTAGAAAAATTTCGAAAAATAAAAACTAATTTTAAAAATTATTTAAAAAAAAAATTATTATTTAGTAAAAAATCATTCCTAAAATAATTTTGTTAGAAAAATTTCGAATAATAAAAACTAATTTTAAAAATTATTTAAAAAAAATTATTATCCAGTTAAAAATCATTCCTAAAATAATTTTGTTAGAAAAATTTCGAATAATAAAACTAATTTTAAAAATTAAAAAAAAATTATTATCCAGTTAAAAATCATTCCTAAAATAATTTTGTTAGAAAAATTTCGAATAATAAAACTAATTTTAAAAATTAAAAAAAAATTATTATTTAGTTAAAAA